CGTATTTGAAATTAATTAGCGACAGATTATAGTAGGTATACATCACTATATGTATGAATGAATTGATTACAATAAACAGTCTTATGATAGGTATGGACGCGTTGTGTTTCATGGACAGCCAGCATATGATGGGCAGAACCGTGTGGTGATACAGGTGTAGGAAAGTGATGTTCCTGGTCTTTTTGCGCAAATTTAATATGACGGCGTCCGTGAACGACACAAACTTGGACATACTGAATATCCATATGAATTGTATAAAGCTAAACATCAATACAAATTACAATTATTATTTAGTATTTGCAGTCATATTCAGAATATATACTCATTTGAATGACTGGAAGTGTCGGTGCGGTCGGGAAAGTCAAACTCCAGGAATATTCTGCCAGAATCTAGAAATGTAACACATTTGCGAAATATGTAGACATTGAGCGCCACCATTAGTGTATTGTAGACCAGTGTAAAGCCAGTGAGATGGTAGGGCTGCCGGTGCCGCATATATCGTGGTAGGAGGACTTTGACGACCAATAGGTAGGTGCTCAATATGGACAAAATCTTCCAAATGGGTCCGCTATAGACCGGGTAGTCCTTGATTCGGGGGTCCTCTATACGGCTCCAGTAGTCGTCTAATGGTGTGATTATTAACATTGTGTTTGCAGTTATAATTGGAGTCTATATTCAAAGCATGTGTAATCAAAACAAAATTATTTTTATAAAAAATGATTTAACCTAATATTACATATAGTTTAATATTGGGTAAATACAGTAGTTATACTTCCTTTTTAAGTGACAAAAAATTATTTAATTTTTTTTTTGTGAAATCGGTATTATTTTACAGTAATTAATGAAAATATAAATTATTTCCTTTAGAGTTCAATGAATACACAATTAATTCTTGTTTATTGTAGCAATTGATTTGACTGTAATTTTAATTATTGAATAAAATTTTACAATGCTAACAATACGAAATGTTAAATATTTAAACAGTTATTAGACATTTATAAAATAAAATAAAATCATTTCAATTTTTTACATTGCTTTTTAGCTTTTTCTTAAAATATCCCTTTTAAAGTCATACGACTAAAAATATTTTAAATGGTAATTAAGACATTTGTCTTTAAAATAAACTGATCAAGGAAATATGTTGAGAATTCCCGAAAATATTTATGAATTTAAACATCAAATGAACATGTTATAATTTTCATAAGTACAATACAACCTCAAAAACTGCTTTTGGTCATAACCACAGACATAGAGGTCACCAAAAAATAATTATCAATTTAGGTGAGGTATCAAGTTATCTCAGTACCTGTTCACATGTTCATTACACAATTACTTACCTGTCATATGATTATTAACAAGTATATAAATTATGAAATAATTTAAGTTTTATGTCTTTTCCGTTTAAGTTTTTCAATTGAATTAATTACTAAAATTAAGTATTATTATTTGAATAAATAAACATTAGAAAAGTAACAAAAAATTGTCCACTATTCATGGTAACCTACCGCTAAACTACCGTATATCTATCCATTCTGCACTATTACTCTGTATATGATAAAATACATGGTATAATCATTAATTTTCATTCATATTCTAGTGTAAACACATGTTTTCATAAAAAT